CAGATGGAGCAGAAGTAGCATATACTTGAAATAGAACTGCTCAGGCTCCTCCTTGGCACAGCACCTCTAAGCTCATGGTGATGGAGATCTGCTTAGCCTTCCTGAATCCTGGTCGCCAGAAGCACTGAAGGCTAACAGCACCCAGTGACCGTCCTGAGGTCCAGAGATGACAGATATGAAGTGTACGGGACAGGGCAGGTCCAAGGATCTTTGCTGAGGGAAGGTGGGCAAGTGAATCAATGGACGGACAGATGGATGGATAGACAGATGGCTAGGTGGGTGGATATACATACAGATAGGATATCTTTAAACCAAACCACGGAGGAGAAGCTGAAGGAAAGAAAACTGCCCACTCTAAAAAGCACATGACTGTGTGGTTTGTGTGGGGCAGGTTAAGGAGTGAAAGGGACGAACTTCGACATGAGGAGGAGGAGCAATGGTGCCACCTCTCCAAGGGCCCAGCTGAAGCCAAAGCTGTCACAATGGAAGGGCTCCTCTGTGGAAAGCTTCCTAGCCTCTACACAGGGGGCAACCGCCCACTGGGGCCATATCTGCCCACTGATTAACTGTCATTGATCTTTACCTTTAAAATATACTTCCTAAACTACCTAAAAGTACTTTATTTCCTAGTAAAATTCTCTCTCTCTCTCTCTCTCTCTCTCTCTCTCTCTTTGTGCTTTGCTTTTGTTTGTTTACTCGTTGGCTTATGGGTATGTGCATGCACACACAGAAGGCAGAGGACAATCACAGGAGCCTTTTATCATATAGGTCCCCGGGGAACTCAGGTCAATAGGCTCAGCAACAAGTGCCATTACCTACTGAGCCATCTCACTGTTTTTCGGTCTCTTATAGCCCAAAGCTGACCTCAAACTTGCTATGTATTTTAGGGTGACTTTAATCTGATCTTCCTGCTTCTATATCAGGTGCTGGCATTACCAGCTTGTATTACCACACCTGGCTCTAAATTCTTTCTGAAGCATTAATCTGAGAAAAATATCTATTTAAAAAAAGAAAAAACAAAACTAGGCTGATATGATGCCTGCTTGTACTTTTTTATTTAAGTAAATCATACTAATGACTATTCAAATGAGAGATTTGTCTGTACCACGTCTTAAATTATCTCTCCTATCATGGTGATATATGGTTCTGCTGGGCATGACTACACTAAATATTCTGAAGGGGCCCACTGGGTTATTTGAGAAGGCTACAACCCTGATTATGCTCTTATTCTTATGGCCCTCTCTAGTCTATCAGCATATTTCATGTTTATATTTCATCTAATTCCCATGACAACTATGGGCAGAGAAGCCACAGACAGAGCCTGGGCCTGCCCAGCGCAGGACCCACCCAAGCCCTCTAGACAGTCTCAGAGGAACGGGACTAAGCTTAGAGCTCCCTATCCTGCCCTGTTCATCCCATCACTCCTTGCTACAGAATCAATTCCATTCTTGCAATCTCCAAGATCTCACTAGTGGATCAAGCCAAATATAGATTGTGACTTTCATCCATTGAGAGGCAGCCTCGTGCCAAGCTCTCCAGACAGAGAATATGTCCTTCCGAGATTCAGTGTGTCACCTTAGCAGCTGGGGATGACCCATATTTTCATTTGGCCATCTGCCTGTCCTCAAGCCAGTCTAATGGAGCTGCCAGGCATATAGAAGGACAGTAACAGGGTAAATTCACAAGGTTGCCCCATGACTTCCATGTGAGAAATGCCTTTAAAAAATGATCTTGGAGCACACAGGCCAGCTGAAAAGGTTCTCTGGGGAGTGTGGGGTTGTTGAAGGGAAACCAAGGAGGGCTGGTGGGGTGATGCTCTCAAGGATTAAGACTGCTACCTGGAGGATAAGAGACACCACAGTGGGTTGCACAGCAGGTAGTAATAGACTTAGCTTGGCCGTTGGCTTTTCAGTAACAACATACTGCCTTTTTCAGAAACTTCCCAGGGTAAGCCACAGGCTGATGACACAGATCTGACCCCAGCCTGGTGGTTATAGCCCAGGCTGTAGATTGTGAACACCATCTCTGTACTTTCAGGCTGCTCTAGAACAGTACCTGGCTGGATCACACAACAGTCTCCAAAAAAAAAAACCAGTGCTGAAGCAATGGGCATTAGAGCAAGAGGACCAATCCGTGGCTCACTTTCACAGATTCCTAACTGTCCCTCGTCATATGCTATGATTGCTAATCTTGTTAACATGATGAGATTTAAAACCATCTGAAAGACTAAACTCTGGGCATGTCTGTGAGGGTGTTTCAGGACATGTTTAATGCAGGAGGGTATACCTGCCCTGGATGTAGTCGACGCCATCTAATGGGCTGGGACCCCTGACCTAAATACAAAAGGAGGAAGCAAATGGAAAGCCAGCATTCATCTCTCCTACTCTCTAACTATGGGTGCAGTGTGACCAGCCATCTCACATGCTTGCCATCCCAACTAGAAGCCTTCTCATCGGTACCCCTCTCTGACAGGAGGCACTGTATTCTCAAACTGTAAGTCGAAATGAACCCTTCCTTCCGTAAGTTGTTTTTGTCAGACATTTTTGTCACAGTAACAAGTGAAATAACCAACACATATGCTCAACTCTGCACACCAATGTTTTCTGATTTCTCATGCACATATTTTAAAACTCGGCATCTCAAGACCATGAAAACCGCGACTCTAAACGTCAGAGCCTCAGCCTCCTAGGCTACCGGTCCCACACAGTAACTTGCTGGAAGTAGACAAGATCTCGCATGAGCTGAGCGTGTCTTTGGGAGAACCGAGCCTCATCTAGCCTATTGTTATCTGAGTTTTATTACTTGCAGCCCAATACATCCCAGTGGTTTTGGACCACAGGGCCCAGAGGCATCATACAAAGCTATGAGGTAAGGCTTCAGAGTCTATCAACAATATGCACTGTTCAACACCTGTATAAGAGCACCTGCTAGGTGTCCCAAACTGCAAGGGGCTCACATCCAGCTCCTTTGATTTTCTGGTCTCTTTTAAAGGAGATGATACCCTAATAGCTGGCTCATGCCTGCACTCACCCTCTAGACACTAGAGCACATTCCAGCTTTGCACAAGGACCGATTCCCATTTAGTACTGTTTGTACAAACTCCGCAATACTTAGGAGCAGTGAATTTTCAGGTTACTTCCAGGGTAGTATGCCATTTGGGGGGTATTTCATCGGTAGACAAGATTTCAAAGACAACAACATGTGTCAAATATAGCATAGAGATCACAATTTCCTGCAAAATCAGTAGACCCAAGAGGTTGGTAAACACATGGTATTAGGACCAGTCACTCAAAGGGCTCAATTCATTAGAGTCCTCTCTAGTTCCTGAGGATCACTGGAGATCAGGAACCAACCTGGGAGAGGGTGTGGACCTGTCACGTTATAAAAAGAGTATGAAATATCTGTGCCTGAAACTAGTAAAAGTTGCATTTATCACATACACACAAAAATTTTATAAGTGCAGCCATGTGTGGTGGTGTGTGACTTTAATCCCAGCACTCAGGAGGCATCGGTAGGTAGATCTCAGTGAGTTCAGCCAGCCTGGTCTACATACACAGTGAGTTTCAGGTCAACCAGGGCTATGGAAACTGCTTTATGCAGAAGCAAGGCTGATAGCTCTAGAAAGTAGTCAGTCACCTGCCTCCCCAGAGGGCCTCTCCTCTTCATAAGGAAATGTCAAGGTCACATCTGGGGGTGGCAGCTTCCATCAGAGCATAGAACTTACTTAACCTCCCACTACAAAGAAACTGACCTTGAAATCCCACAGCAACAGAGCCCCACACCTCCCACCCTGGCAGAGAAAGGCCCAACCATGCAATAAACCACAGAGATGCTAACTGCCTGCTGGGCAGTATAAGCAGACCCATGAGTAAACACCATGGCCTGAAACATTTTCAGCCCCAGTCAGCAGGGACATGCAATTTACAGGAAATTAGAAGATTTACGGAATGTTAGCAGCTCAAATTTCTTCTCTGGGAAAGGGGGCAGGAGAAACTCTAAGAACTGCTTCGGTGAAAGCTCTTTGTTCATAGCTAAGCCCTGACATGTGTCAGTTATTAATATCTGTAGCCGCCACCTCACACTTCAACCCACCACTGCAGGATGCGGGGACTGCTGCGCTCTAAATGCACAGCAGCGGCTGCACTAGCCTTAAAACCAGGCACCGTAGAGCCCCACACACACACGAGGCCAGAACAGACACAGGGTCAAAAGCACAGATTTCGACACAGTCCTGGGAAGGTTGACTGTCCATTTCCCCCTTTCTGGATACTACCACAACAACATCTCTCTGGCGGCGCCCCTGATAGGCAAATCCCCATCAAGTGCCCGGTCTCTTTAAGCTTTGCTTTTAAGTGTTCTCTGCTTACAAAAGCCCTCATCCAGACAGACCTCTAGAGGCCACAGTCCTGAGCCCCATCAGTCTACTCTCTAATTTGGTCCAGAGGAGCAAAAGCCATTGTAGCCCAAGGACGTTCCCCACCACCAGGGGCTGTCCCAGGGCTCAGGTCGGAGCCCAGGTGACGCTGTCTTTGTCCTCTCTCCGGACTGTACTTTGCCCCAAGCCCCAGGACATCTCAGCTCTGCTGGGGTTTCTAACTGGATGTCAAGAGCCCACGCAGATGCTCATATCTGCTCTTCCACAGAGTCTTCCCGGACCTCCTACCCTTGAGTGGGGTCACTCGAGTTCTCTCACTGACCACACGGGGCTGTTGCTCAGTTTGTGCCCCTACCTTCCAGGTGGGACAGGAGTTGGCATTGAGCCTGACACTTGGTGGGGCACCGGGCCGCATCACTTTAGTGTGTGAGCGCAGGCCCCAGTTGCGACCAGAGCTCCAGCAACCCGAACTCGGGGCGCAGTAAAGAGTTGTTTGTGAAGCAAGCTGCCTTTCATTATCCACACGAATGTACCACCCCTCCGCAGATCCCTACCCTGGTTAACGCCATTTTAAGCCAGGAGGGCCCCACCACCCCCACCGCCCACCTCCCCGACGAGTCCTTACCCGGGCAGCCGAGGAACCCCGGGGTGACTACAGTCAAAGGAGTCAGTTTGAGCGGTGGCCAGGCCCTCCCCACTGAGGTCGGGGTGGCGAGCGACTTCACCGCACACCGTTCCTCTGGGGCGGCTGGTGGGGGGCAGAGGCCACGCACAGTCGGAGTCGGGCGCCCGGGTGCAGCGCAGCAGGGCAAGCGAGCGCGGAGCCGGCCACACCGCCGGCCACACCTCCAGCCCCGGAACAAAGCGCCCGGCGCCCTCCTCTCCGCCCGGCTGCTCCGCCGCTCACCGCGCACTCCGGCCCCGGGCTGGGCTCCGGCCCTCGGCCGCCGCCTCCTCGCTCGTACCGGGAGGAGGGAGCGCCGCGCCCGCACCCGCCGGGCCCCGCGCCGCCGACTGACGGCTCCACGCCAGCCAGCCCGGCCGCCGCCGCCGTCCCCGCCCCGCCGCCGCCTTAAAGCGACCGCGCACCCCGCGCCTCGAGTGCCCTCCAGTTAGCCGCTGCGACCCCCCAAAACGGCGCCACTGCGGGCGCTGGGACAGCTGGCATCGGGCAGGGTCCCTGGGCCCCACGTACTCACCGCACACACCCGCAGCCGAGCTTGGGACACCTCGTGGGAATTCACCCCGGGCGGCTTTTAAAGAGTCCGGAGCTCCAATCTTTAATTCTCCGTAGTGGCCTCCAACTTGAGACCTGCGGAAGCCACCCCAGGCCTAGATGACCCCTGTCAACAGCGTCCTCAGAACCCCAGTGTTCAGAGGGACTGCTAGGTGCGAAGTTTCAGACCTCAAAATTCTTGCGAATTTGCTAGCGAGCCGGACAGGAGGCAACAGTCCTGCACTTTTTAGCTATTTCACTGGCTAGGCGTCAACCCCCACCCTGGCCATCCCTTTCACAAGACTTGAGATAGGATCGTATAACGCTGAATGTACACTTTTAAGGCGTGCATTTCAGTGAGGTTTTTGGTATACTCACAAAGTTGTGCAACCATAGTTATTATCTAATTCCAGAACATTTTGGCCACTAAATAAATAAAGACCTTTGTGGGAAGACTTTCCTCATTCTCCACTCCTCCCAGCCTCTGGGAGCCTCTAATCTGCTTTTCGGCCTCAGTGGATTTGCCTATTCAGAACATTTTCTATAAATGCAGTCATACAACGTGTGGTCCCTGTGACTGACTTCTTCCATGGTGTTTACAGGCTGGATGTATGTGGTCCAGTGTGACAGAGCCTCAGACAGACTCATTTCCCATTGTGTGTGCATGAAGCATTTTGTTTAGCTTTTCATCAGTCGATGGATATCTACGTTTCCACTTTGCGCTGTTACAAATGAAGTGGCTAGAATGTTACTATACAAGTCTGTGTAAACTTGTTGATTTCTCTTAGCTACATTTCCAGTGGAATTGCATCATTAAGCAACTGGGGAGGGGGGTGTATCTGTTTCCATAGCAGCCACAGCATTTTACTTTCCAACTACTATCTCCACATTCTTTGTGTGTGTGTGTGTGTGTGTGTGTGTGTGTGTTCATGTGTGCTGCATGTACTTAAGCATGTACATGCCTGTGGAGGACAGAGGACAATGTTAGCTGTCCTTCTTCAGGTGTTAGTCACTGTTTTACTTTGTTCTGATGTTTGGTCTGGGAGATTGTGGTTATTGTTTTGGTTTTTATTATTGTTTGTTCTGAGATGGGCTCTTGTTGACCTGGAGCCAGCCGGGTAGTCAGGCTAGGATGCAAGCCTAGGCTGTTGCTGCCTCCCTCCCCAGATAGGGAAGGCCTGACTTTAGAAACAGCTTTGTTCCATTCTTGGTTTTGCCAACACTGTGTCTTTCAGATGATAGTGAGGGTGAAGAGGCCTCTTGTTCTAAGTCCCCCCCCCAATCCCTTCTTCCCTCCCTCTGTTCCTCCACATCTACTTGAGGCTCATTCTGAGGACATTCTTTTGTAAATGGGCCTTGATGACTTATGGGTAACTTTGCACACCCAGGCCTGCCTTACCATTTTGAGTTGCTCCTCACCCAGGCCTCAGGGGACCTCCCATCCCTGTATCCTGCAGGCCAGGCGGATTCTGCCTAGGGCAGGCTTCCCTTGGCCTCCCAGCCACCAACTCTTTGGTGAGAGCCATGTAGTCCTTACATCCTTCCTCCCATCTGCTGCTCTCAAAGCCCAGGTAGTCTTCAAGAAGCCCAGGACATGGAGAACACAATAGATGCCATTGCACGTGCCTTTCACTGGCTGCAGGAAATGGTTGGAGAGGGGCTTTGAAGGTCACAAGCCCACTAGTTTTTATTTGCCACAGGCCTCAGGGAAGGTGGGCAGAGGGCGTTCCTTAAGAGTGGAGTTATATCTATCCTGTTTCCATGCAGAAACCCTTCTCTTGTCTCCCCAGAAGTGGGACTTACGTGGCTTAATTGTTATGTCCCTGGGAGTCTTCAACGGTGACTTTGGAACACTCAGGTAGTGACTCAGGATGGATTATGTCATTTAGGCTGCCTTCCCTGTTCCTTGAACCCTGAAATAAAGCTGTGGCTTAGCTCCTGGTGAATGGTCTTTTTCAAACAAGATGGCTGAGCAGCAAATACAAGTTCTGAGAGTTCATTCGGGAGGAACTGAAGGAGCACGCACTGAACGCCAGGCTTGGAGCAAGGACCTACTCCCAGTCGAGCACTAAGTGGGGTTGGAGAGAGACTTGCAGGGTTGTGTGGGAGCCCGAAGAAGAGTACCTAGTCCAGGGTGCACAGGGAGCAAGTGATAGCTGATGAACCAGGTCAGAGGACAGGGATGGGGGGGGGGGGCTAATCCAACAGCCAGGCTAAGAGCTAAGAGACAAAAGCTTGTATATTTAGACACAATTGAACTGAAGCCTTTCCAAATGTTCCAGCAGAAATGCGTGGTTGATCAGGTGTGTCTGAAGCATGGCACACCAGACTTCTGGCCAAGGACCCAGAGAGAGCACAGACTAGATTTCAGGCCTTTAGGTCCAAGGCCAGCAAGTGGGCCAGGAGCCAATTCCTGGAATAGAATAAAGGTCAGAGCGGCTGAGTTGATACACAATGAGACCTCCTGGTTAAAGACAAAGCAAGTGTGTTGCACTCACCGCCCTGGGGAACACTGAATGCTGTGGGGCAGAACAGACTGGAGGTAATGGTTCAGTGAGTAACCTGGAGTGGGCTGGAGCCTTCATGCCTGGAAACCATCCAGGTCCTCATTGCTCTGTCTTTGTCTAGACTCCAGGCTCAGTGTGGTCTTTGGGGATAAAAGCAACGCTGAGCTCATGAACACCCACACATGATATGCCAGCTCCTGGATATGGTGATGGGTATGTGGACCTCCCAGGGGCCTGTACAAAAAGCTTTATCTGCCTTGGTCTAGATGTGAAGAGGTTGCAGGTCCAATCCGCTGCAGCCCATGGCCCTAAAGGTAGGCTGTCCTGTCCATAAGGCCTATATTCTTTCTCCCTATCATGCATGTGTCCTAGACAAGCTGGTCAGTCACTCATGAGCATTTGGTGCTAGAGAATAGGAAGGTAAATAAGAAAACAGACTTTGTTCCAGGTACATTGTCTTAAGCCTGTGGCTAAAATCAAACCTTTTGGTGACCCTGAAGCACCTACCATAGGTTAGCAAAAGAAGTTTGCAGATCCCCATGCTAGTTAACCTTAACTGGCTTTTCTGCAACTGAAAGGTCAAAATGATTCATTCTCCACTTATGATGTGGTTCAAGAACTGCCAAAATCTGCTTTCAGAGTTTCCACGGCTCCTGCCAATCACTTTTTACTCCTCCACACACCTTAGGAGGGAAGCCTCACAAGAGTTTCTTTTAGGGCATTCATAATGCATCCCTCCCAGAGGTGCCCTCTTGTTCTCTGGAGACAGAAGAGCAGTTTCCCATGAATCTTCCCACTCACCACCAAACTCCTCCAAACAGTTTCTCTTATTCAATCCATAGACTTGTTTGTAGCAGTGTGTACTTTTCTTTCTAGGAATAAATAGAATTTTGCGTTGTGAATCAGAACACACACACACACACACACACACACACACAGAGAGAGAGAGAGAGAGAGAGAGAGAAATATTTTGACCACCAGGGCTGCAGATTAGTGATACTGCTTCAGAATTTGTCAAGAAGGGTCAATAGAGGATTTTGAAACAGGTGCTAATGAAAATGGTTTGAGACAAGTTTGGGTTTTCAAATATCAAGATTTCCTCTTCTAGGGGAGTGTGAGTAGGTGTAGACCAGTAAATTCCTGTCATAACAGAAGGTGAGGAGGTTTCTAGCTGCCCACTCCCATCCCTTATCTAAAATATTGGCCAGTTTGGGGTACCAGTTAGTGATTGTTTGCCCAGGAAGACATATGATAGAGGAGATGAGCAAAGCTTTTACCACTTGATGGTAGAACGGCAAATGAGGACATCAGACACCTTAAACAGCTAATTTCTTCTGTGGGATGACTGCTGAAGTCTGGGTCTAAGAATGCATTGAAGAAAATAGGATGAGGGGGTGGCTAGATGGCTGGCTCCACAATTAAGACAGCACTTGGGTTCGATTCTCAGCACCTACACAGTGGCTATCAAACACTGGAACCTAAATTCCAGGGGAGCCTTTTCCTTTGGCCTCTGTGGGCAGAAACACAAATGCAATGCATAGACAAAATGCCCATACACATAAGATAAAAATAACTAAATCTAGAGGAAGAAGAAGAAAAACAAGAACTAAAGCAATAACTAAGAAGATGACAAAAACAGAATGAAGTCTTTCTTGGTCCCAGTGTCTAGAAAACAAAGGCATCCCATGGAAAATGGGTTAGACAGAAACAGAAAGTTATCTCCCACTTCAAGAATCTGAGCAGATTTTGAAGTTCCATGGGGACTGAGCTGGGCAATGGGATCAGGAACTGCTCAAGGGCAGAACAAAAGTTCCATTGAGGATAGCAAGACCCTTAAGTCTCTTAGAATAAAAATCCAGGCCCAATGAAGTTTAATCTTGGACTTATGTACTCATTCCTCCCCCATCTGCTTAATTGAGGAAAAGCAGTCCATGATAAATTACACACAATGTTTGCAAACAGTAAAATCAATCAGTAAATAATAAGATAATTATAAAGAGTGCAGGTTCATATGCAAGCCAGTGGCAAAGCATGGTCTTTGTGTGTGAGAGATACAGGTGTTGTGTATCAAGTCTCCATCCTGCAGAGCAGCACCTTAAACAGTGAGGTAATTAACCAAAAAACAGCTTCAAGAACTCCCTGAATCTGACCAGATTCACTAGGCCCCTCCTGAC